TACCAGGGATTACCGGCGATAACCAGGGATTACTGGTGATTACCAGGGATTACTGGTGATTACCAAGGATTACCGGCGATTACCAAGGATTACTGGCGATTACCAATGATTACCGGTGATTACCAGGGATTACCAGGGATTACCTACTCTGTGTACACCTGATTACCTCAGTTGGGCACCCCTCGGGGCAGCGTGGCAGCATCGCAACCCAGAAGTCCGAGGTTCAACTCCGCGTCCGGTAAAGTATTTAGCAAATAGAACTGTGAACTTAAATGTAAATTACGAGGAGTGAGGGTGCAGTAAGAGTAGGATCCGAGTCCACAGCCGCAAAAATATCATTTTTCCTTTTAAAAATTCGTACGGGAAAAATCCCACACCTGTCAAGGAAATCTGCTGCACTCGTATGGGATTTTTCCCACACACTCGTATAGGGAAAATCCTACACTTGTCTCGTAGATCTGCTGCACGAGTATGGGATTTTTCCCACACAGTCGTATAGGGAAAATCCTACACACTGTATATGTAATTTGCTTCAGACACATTTATGGGATTTTTCCGACACATATTTTTTACAGTGTAACCTCTAATGCTGCCGGTTCAGCTTGGTTACTTGGACAGCACGATTTGTTACAACTAATTTTCTCTTCAGCCGAGACTGTCCCGGAAATGGTGATAAGGTGGCAAGTGAGAGTGCCTGGGACGCGCCTCCCCCTCCTGATACTTCAGATGAGAGTAAGTGTCAATGTCAACATTTATCTGGAATGAATCAATTTGTTTGTTAGTGTGGGAAGTGGTTTGACTTCACATTCTTTCCTTTGTAGTTTCTGGACTCGGATCAAGTTTGCTGCGGAGCCCTCCCCGAATCATGGATGAACCAAATCCAAACTTGTTTGCATCACATCTTCAGGAGGGTGTCTATTGTTCGGACAAACTACCATTTCAACCTTTTGAAGATTTTGATCGACCCACTTGCAGTTAACTATTATCCCCAGAAAGTGTTAAACAGCCCTCCTCCTCTACTGCCTGTCAGTGTTCAGAAGAAAGGTCCGAGCAAACAATCATCTCAGGCTAAATCTCAATTACACCCGCCACTGCCTTGTGTGCCCAGTAAGTATTACATCCAAACTTTGTAAATCAATGTGTGTTAACTTGTATTTCGACTTATTTTATTTGGCTCTTTACAGTTACTACCATTGAGCCACCTACTAGTTTACTTCCTGTTCCTGAAACCACGGATTCTTCAATTAAATCACGTAAGTTTTAATGCTAGGTGCATACTTTCCAAATGCCATTGCAAAACAGAAAAGGGTTGTCATTCATGATTTTTGTCGCTTTTCTTTTATTCTGAATAGTGGCTCTTAACCCTATAAGGCATGAGCCGGTCCAAATTGACCAAAGTTGAATATTCGAGTTCTGCCAACCAAGGGAGTGTCTAAGAAGCATTTTAAGCCCTCGTGGGGTGTTCTAGCATGTACGGTTCAGGATCTGAATGTCATTTAGAAACGACACCATGCCTTCCGGGTCACTCGACATGATATCTTATTGTGTTTTTTAAGTGGATGAAAATTTCAGGGCCGGTCTGGGTTGGATTAATGATCACATTTCACCAAAAAAATGTGAATATTTAAAAAGACGAGTGGCCGATAAGGCCCCAAAACAGGTGTTTTTGGGTCATTTTTGAGGGGTGTTTGTAAAGAGAACGATTTAGACGGCAAATCTTCGAGAAATATGGGGTAAACTCAGCATGGTTGTATGCAGAAAAGTGTAAGGAATAAAACTTGTCCAGTAAACAAATACACTTTTCTCAAAGATAATGCCTCTAAAACCTGCTTTAAGTCGAACGTCATTTTAAAACGACACCATGCCTTCCGGGTCACTCGATCATCAAGAGTCAAAAAATGATACCTAATCGACTTTTTTGGTTTCTGATGCTTTAATAATAAGTTCTGAGGCAATATCGACTGTCCTAGTTCTGAATATAGAGTTTCTTTGTACCATTTCAATGTTTCAACCTTCGGAACAAAAAGCGCACCTTTGTGCAAGTGGTCATTTTTGAGCGCAATTTTTCCTATGATGCATTCATCATACGGTCTTCCGAGTACACGAACTTCTATTAAGTGTCCCTGAGATACTTTTGAGCGTGTATATGTTACTTTAGGGCACAGTTTCTGTGAGTGGAGGCCGGGCCAAAACACCACTTTGAACGACCATTGTCGTTTTAAAACAACCTATGTCGTTTTTAAACGACAACGGTATCGTTCAAAGTGCTGCTGTTGCACGGCTTTCACTCACAGACGCTGTGCCCGAAAGTAACATATGCATTCTCAAAAGTATCTTAGGGACACTTACTAGGACTTCGTGTACTCGGAAGACCGTATGATGAATGCATCATAGGAAAAATTGCGCTCAAAAATGACCACTTGCACAAAGGTGCGCTTTTTGTTCCGAATGTTGAAACATTGAAATGAGTACAAAGAAACTCTATATTCAGAACTACGACACTCGATACTGCCCCAGTCCTCATCAATAAAGCATCAGAAACCAAAAAAGTCGATTAGTTATCATTTTTTAATTTTTGATGATGTCGAGTGACCCGGAAGGCATGGTGTCGTTTCAAAATGACGTTCGACTTTTTTTTACTGTCAGAGCTGCCAGGTGC